TTATATGAGATTTGGATAAGGATTGGTTATTTGACTAAGAAACTCCCAATGTGCAGAGACCCCACCCCTCAAATTGTTTAGTTATTCAGAGTAGCTGAATGACAGATGTCTTTCTTGATGGTGAGAACTGTTTAGAACAGAGGTTGGCAAACTACAAACCTCAAGTCAAATCTTCCCCCTCTCTGCCTGCTTTTGTATGGGCTGCAGCTAAGAATGCTTTGCACATTTTTAAAGGGTTGGAAAAAATCAAAAGAGGAACTACCACACATGAAAATTATATGAAATACAAATCTCAGTGTCTATATATATATATATATATATATATAAAGTATATTGGCACCTAGCAATGCCCATTTGTGTTCACATCGCCTGTGGCTGCTTCATGTTACAGTGGCAGAGTTAATAATTGGCACAGAGACCCTATGGCCCGCAAAGCCTAAAATATTTATCCTATGCCTCTTTCCAGAAAAAATTTGCTGAGTCCTGGATTTAAGCATTTCTGTCATCCCTTTCTGCCAAGGGTAACCTGAGGCAGACAGGGCTTCTTCTACTCCCCAGGACTCTCCCAGTCCTGACTTCTCGACTATCTCCATGACCCATCCATTTGCAGCATTTCAGTGTCTCAGCTATGACTGTCTCACAGTGTCCTTCATGCTTAGAAGTAATAAAAATCTTTGAATAGTCCATGTCTTTTGATTTAATAATTTGGAGCCCAGCATTACCATGAGGTCATGGCTCCCCCACTTGACCCAGCAGCACTGCATATTTTATTCCAGAGCAGACCATATTTTCTTTGGTGTCTGCCATGAAAATCTTCCTTAAAAAGGAAAGAAAACATACAAAGTGAAATATTTGTAAAGATCTCTTGTGAGAAATGTTCAATTAAATCAATTTGGATTACAGGCCACCGTTAGGAGTTTGGCCAACCAAAGGTAAACGTTGGAGCTGTAGGTGTGCTTCTTCGAATGTTTTATCCAAGTGAAGAGCAGTGGGGGGATGATCCAGAGGTCTCATTCCCCACCTAGCACCCCATACTAATCTGAAGAACATAGTCCATATTAAAACCAGAGAATTGGGAGGTGCTTAAGAGGTGAAATGGGCCAGCCCATGTGGATCTTCCTAGGACATCTTCACTGCTGGTGGGGTAGCGGGTGGAGGGACAAACAAAGAACGGGGGATCTAAGTCGCCCTGGGCTGTATGAGACTTTTCTCCTTGAGGGACGAGAACCTGCCCTTGCTTCATGATGATGGTTAACCAGGTACAGAAAGCAGATTTTCAGTCTTGCCCATTTGCCTTACCTTGGAGGAAAGGTTATGTATTTTGTAGGTCTCTCATTTCCCACTTCCACTTTTTAAAATTTTAAGTCTTTGAATAATTTGTATTCTGGAGTTTTTCATTGTAATCAGTAATTTTGCAAGCCAAACAATAGAGCTGGGGGGAGGTGGGGTCAGGGAACATCACTGGGAAAAATAAAAGACTCATCAGCTTTATGAGAGGGCATCAAAGGTGGGGAGACATAATACAATTGTTCTTGCCCTTGTGTTGTTCTTTGCTTTATTTTATTTTTATTCTATTTTCTTTTTTAAGATAGGCTTGTGAATGACCCTGTCTTGGGTAACATGAGGCCTCTCCCCACCCATGAGTTCTGTGGGGTGCATTTACCCCTGCAGTTTTTGCTCAGAGCCCAACATACTCTCTTCATCAGCTTGTTAGATTACTCATCCTCTCCAGCACAGCAAGAAGAAACAGGCAGCATGCCCATTGCTTGTTTATTCCTTGTTTTAATTTTCATTATTACGTTTCTCAGGAAATGCGCGCCTTAGCTAACAGTTACTGGCACAAAAAGGTATTTGAGTTCTTGCCAACATTTGGGGAAACTGAATGAGATGCCTTAGAGAAGGGTTGCCCCATCCTTTGCTTAAAGTTTTCTTTCCTTTTTTTCTTTTTTGTTTTTTTCTGTCCTTTAGCCCATGAAGAGCATCATGCTTTTGAAGGTGGACGTGGAAAACACTAATTGCACTCTGTAAAGAATTCTTTGTCCTTTGCTGATTGGTTTTGGAAACGGTCTTAACAGGAGGGAGAGTGAAGAGAAGACTTGCCGAAGTCCGATGCTGGTCAATTTAGAGTGGGTTTCTGTCCTTGCAGACTGGGCAATTAGGATTCAAAGTGGCAGGTGGGGTCGGGGGGCGATTGTATGGGTTTCTACCGTCACATTACTTGCGCTTTTTTTTTTTCTTTCTAAATTCTCTGTCCTTTTTACTCCAATTTTTCCCCCTTTTAAATTCCTTATTCAATCTAATTATGGTTTTCTACACTCCCCTTTCATTGAGGCACAAGAAATCGGTTTCCCTTTAAGTAGCTCTGCTGTACCTAGTTAATGAGAATATTCGTAATCGTGACAATGCTGCTTTTGAAAATCCACACTGTACTCGGAGGAATACTAGCTGGTGAAACCTGTCTTGATTATTTGTTGTGACACATTCCTACATACTATGCACCGGGCATTGTTTTTTCTGCCCCAGGGAAAAGAAAAACCATACTTAATCAGATTTTGCACTGACAGCTCACACATCTTTTATTTTTCCTTTTTAAAATGTATTTTTTTTTTTTTTTTTTATCTATAAGAGGAAAATAATAGTTGGGTTGCCTAACATAAAAACTATAATCATAGTTGAGGATCAGGATATAAATGAAACTCTAGGTTTTGGACTCTGTCAACATACTTCTAACCAGAATTTCAATTTAGCCTTTTCAAAGGAAGCTTTAGAGTAGTAGGAAGGGATTTCTCCAAATAGGAAACCTTACATTTCTGATTGAAAGAGGAGGTAATATTTTAATTGTTTGAATTAAGATTCTTCTGAATTTTGGGTGTCCGTACACCCTTAAGACTTCCCACATCAATTTGAACACATTTTGTTAAATGATCTTTTTCCTGCTTACATTGTATATCATTTCCAATAATCCCATAGTCCTCCAAGTGGGGCAGATTTTGCCTGCCTTTTTCATAGAGGAACAAGAAGTTAAATCTCATTTCTAGGATGAAGGTGAACATTCACAAAGTGGAATTTTGAGTGCATTCTGTTCATATTAATTATTGAAATTGTTAACATATAATTAATATATTATGTTACCAAAGAAATACTGATTTTAGTAGGAGGAAATAGCCACCCTCTGAAACACAGACTTGCTCAAAATGTGCCGAATTTATTCCTTGATTCTGCAAAGCCCCCTACTGCTCTGCATGAAAAGGGCAGAGTCATTTGAAGATGCTTCCTCCTGCTGGCGTTTTTTTCAGAGCTGGGGAACTAGTGCATGCTTGTACATTTTTCAAAAGGGCCGAGCTCTCAGAACTTCACTGTGCCCTGGATTTTAATTCCTCTTGTAGTGTGGACCAGCAGAGACAGGTGGAGCTATTTCAAACCTCTAACCTGTGTTTGTAAATAATATTCTTCAAACATTTTAAAGGAGTTTCAACAATATCTATTTATAAAAGCTGTGCCCTTCACTCATTATTAACCACATCAACCATAATAACAATGACCATAGTTTTTTTTTTAAATGCTTTGTTTCTAAACTTGAGTTTTTCAGTCATTTCAAAATGAGTTATAAGGATATCCAGACCCATTTTTCAAAAGCCTGGAACTTACTTCTTTAAATATTGTACTAACATCCAACTTGTTTTCAAATTATTCATCAAAGATTTAAAAAAGGTATTCTGGACATGAATTAAAATTCTTTTTGATATATAAGTATTTTTCTGATCAATTAGAAAAAGGATATAATTGACTTATCTTCATTATAATTGTCAAATATATTTCCATAACTAAATGGACTTTGAAGTATTTTTATTTTTGAACTTTATTTAAAAGCATTGTAATGACATGTTCAACTTTTGCATGTATGTAGCCTTTGAAGTAAAAGTAAAATAAAATAAACAGGAATGTTAGGCTCACGTGGGTGTTTTCCGTTTTCTGTTGTTTATGATCGTGAAACATGGCTTAACACACAAAGTAGGTGTTTGTTGCTAAGAACTTGTGCAACTGTTTCTGACCCTGTAGAATATACCAACTGTGAGAAGGATTTAATTTGCCTAAGTTAAGAACCTATCATCTAAATTACTTTGAGAGAATTTTGTCAAATTTTGCTTTGAAAATTGTTTTAATTGAATATTTAGTTCATAGGAGACATTGTATGAACTAAGCTGATTTAATCAGTTTAAAAACCTCTCATTACCCACTTGGATTAAAGAAGCCAATACTCTTCTCAGATACAAGGAAGTATTTTGTGGGACATGTGACTTTTATGTTAGGGCAGTATACCTATCGCTACCAATGCCGAGGAAAGTGAGACTTTTCAATAGAATACTGTTTTGTATTGTTTTGTTTTGTTTCAGCCAAAGTCCTTGCAGGTGCAGCCTATACTCTATACATAGAGACACACAGAAACCAAAGAGCTCACTTTCTTGTCTTTGTAATTCCTCAGGGCCTGTGATGCAAAGGCAGGGGCTCCAAAACCACTAAGCTTTTTCTTCTCCCATTTCCCCTAGGTTGTCAGAACTCAGGTGCTTGCTTACACCAAGAAAGTATACCTGTTAAATAAGGACAGATAATATTCATTTAAAGTAACTCGTCTGTATTTTTGTTTTCTTTTGTAAGCACTTCCTGAAGTGCTGACTTTCTCAGTTTTAAGGTTGCATTTCCCTACCCCCCTGCCACTTTTTTGCATTTCTGAAATGAGGGTATAGTTTACAGCAAATGTGTGTATCATCTGGCTGTTAAATCCATGGTACAATTGACAAAGGTGGGGGGGGGGAGGAGAAACAACTCTAATAAACTTTAAATGAGTTTAACTTGACTCTAACCTCAACTTTCTTCCTGAATTTAGCTCATGTCCACATCATGTACACGGTCTCAAGGCTTTATAGTTGAAAGAAACTTTGAATAAAATTGGGTCCACTAGACATGATGTACAGTCTACCACAAGATCCTTCACCAAATCTGTCTTTTGTTAAAGAACGTGAAGCTAAAAAGTGACAGAGCTGGGTATTGAAATCCACAGGCTACTTCCCAGTCTAGGCTTCTTTAAACGAATAACACTCAAAGTTGGGCAACCTAACCCCCAACAAGTCATCCTGATCAAGCACTAAATATCTGATCCAGTCTGGCCCCTGATATAGTCTTATCAGGGGCCAGACTGGATCAGATATTTAGTGCTTGATCAGACTATATATATGTAATCAGACATCCTCGTTATAAGAAGTTGTCATTTTTCCCTCTCGCAGTGTTACAGTTTGGTGTTTGAAAATAATCTTAATATGACGGGAGGTGGGCCTTTGCCATGAGATGCTCAACTTGTAGAGAATGCCCACTTTTGTACTTACACAAAACTGACGACACTTGGAGCGATCACATGGTGGCGCTGCCTTCCAGCCAACAGTTTTGGCTTAACATAATTTATTCGGCTATGTTTGTAATAATTTTGAATCTACTGCATTTCACTCTTATGGTTTTATAAAAATTAGATACTACCAGTAGAAATGTAGCTCTTTTACACCCAATAAAAATGTGTCAAAGCTAGAACTTTCCAGATGTGATTTTAAAATTATCTCAAATCTTAGACTCTCATTGTTATGAAGAGAAAGAATGAAGTAAAGGAAATGTTTCTTCAAATATTGTGCCCAAAGGGAGAATTTAACTCACATTTTGATTTTTTTTTTTTAGCTTTATGAATATGGAACTCCTTTTAAAAATATAAGTCTACTACTGTTCACCTTTCCTATAGTTATGTTTCTATAAGATTTTACTTACTACAAAATGAATAAGTAGAGGACTGCCTGTAGTAGTTTATTTCTCAAAAGAATATGTTCAGTCAGATCAGTTAAAAATTACTTAAGAATTTGGTGACCCAGGAATGTAAAAAGCCTATATAATTTTCTCAACAGCTGAGAGGAGTTCAGAAGATGAAGAAGAAAAAGATAGGAGTGAACGTGCAGTGAAAAGCCCTTTAACCTATGTGCCTGTGCAGTCATTAGAGTGGGTTCTTCCTTCTCCTGTGAGGAAAAAAGCCCAAAGAGATTTCTTACACATCTGACTATACTGTTGTTTTTATTCTTTTATTGTTTTTACATATGCATGAAAATCTTAGAACACTTCTTATTTAGGTTAACTCATTCAGGCTAAAAGTCATCATCTTGTGTTGTAGATACTTTCATCTTGCTGACACAACACCATTTTAAAAAGAAAACTCACAGACTCTTAGAATTTTAGAGTGGAAGGGACCTTCAAGATCATCTACCATTGCTTCTCACCCTTTAGCATGCAGAAGAATCACTGGGTGCTTACTGAATATGCAGATTTCTCAGCTCCAACCATAGAGACTCTGATTCAGTATGCCTGGGAGGTCTGGATATCTACCTTTTTAGCAAGCTCTCCAGTGACTCTAATGTGGATGGTCCTCAGACCTCACTTTGCAAACCCCTGATTACATTCAACCCTCATGTATGACAAGTGAGGAAAGCCTCCCTGCCCGCAGCTCTTTCAGGTGACTCAATTTAGAATGTTTGACTCAATTTAGAATGTTTCATACAAACAACCTTATGAAGGATAGAAAAAGCCATTATTACTAAGACTTGAGAAGATGATGCTCGAAAATAGAACTTTATGGCTAAGATCACAGCATAACAGGTAGTCCATCTCTGCAAGTCCATAATATAAACCCTTTAATACAGAGTGGTGGCTTTTCTCTTTTCTAAATACCATTTCAGCCTGTTAAGAGAAAAGGAATTAATGTTCAGAAAAAGTAGTTACGCCATATGTGCAGTAACTACTTTTCTATAATATCTTATGGCATCTGGGGTTCAGCATCATTGAACAAGATTAAATGAACGTTATAGAGCTATAAAATTGCATGTAAAATAACGCAAAACTGTTCAAATGACTATCAAAGTAGGCTGGGAATGAATTTTCACTAAAATTAATTGTCACTTCTAGACATAGCTTAGCAAAGCTGTTACTAAACTAGAGGGATTCTTTAACACATGCAAGTGTCAAAAAATCATGTAAGCACTCCCTAAACTACCCGAATGATAAGCAAAAGTCATTGTGAAGTCAACATTTTTTGTTGTTGTCCATCGTTGCTACTAAAAGTTAGGGTCCCATTGTATATGTGTGTGTCGAATGTACCTTATTAGAATATCCAATAAAAATAGCCTTTTGGATATTCTATGCTCTCGTGTCCTTCAGAAATGATGAGGTTGAAGGAGTCTGTGTTAAATTTTTGTTTGAGTTGCTGCCTGAAAAGTTATCAACTCATTTAATGAAATGCAAGATTTCTTTATGAAAATTTCGCCTTCTGATGTTGAAGTCAGAATTTTTCTTAAACTTTTATTTTGGAACAAATATTTATTTAGGGATTATTAAACTGGCAACTTTGCATTGTATAAATGAGTGTCAAGTAAATATGAGTGTTTCTGAGTTTTCCATAGAAAATTAATGGTACCTCTCATCTTTTTACATATGAGGAAGCAGTGAAGGTGTAAGAAAGAAAATTTTAATTTTCACATTTTACATTAGATGATGAATGGAAAATGTTAAGAGACTTTGAGTATTTTATTAAACTTACAGAGTTTCTGTTTTTTTAAATAGAGCTATTAATTTTGTAAGCCTATATTCAGTTCCCTCCAAATTTCTCAGACTTTAATCAGGTAATATAGCTTGCAACTACTGTATGGCTTTAAAAAATGTTTTAACTATCTTCTCAGTAATCGCTTAATAACAAGTTACCACCCCTTTGCATGTATCGTCACTGAGATTTTAGTTTCATTTAAATTATTACACTAGTGAGCACACTTTAGTTTGGGACACCTAGCACCATTTGTCCCAAATTTCAAATCTTACCAGTTGCATTCAAAATTCTTCATTTTTCGAACTGTCTTACCTGTGTAAGTTGAAGCAGGTTTATTTGCCTTATGTTTTGGATCTGCTTGTGTTCCCCGCCGCTGCCCCCACCCAATTGTATACCATCTGTGCCCTGTGCTGTTGGGGCCTTTTCACATATGGCTCCAAGCTGGTGTAATGCCCTTCCTTTGATCTGGCTTCATCCAGTGATTTGCTGAGGATTTTTAAGGTCACACTGAAAACTTTTCTGTTCTAGTTATTTTTGATTTTATATTGTGTGTTGTGTTTGATGTTCAGATACATGTGAAAGTTGCTTCTATAAGTCAGTAATTTTTATTTCAGCCTTTTGCAGCAATAAGGTAAGACTGGACTGTGCTTTTCTTACTTGAAAATGTAGTGATTTATGCATTTCATGCAAATGTATAGACTTTTCATGCAAAAGTTCTAGTTGCAGTTTTATAATTTGAGATATATTGCTATGAATTGGTGCTCCTTCCTTTTTCAAGTAACAGTTTCGTGGGGTTTGTTTAAGTGTTCACTAGTTTGTAGAACTTTATGCTGAGATCTTTCCAATCCGTTGCTGCCTCACTCTGAAATTGGGTTCTATCAAATAGAAATGTCATTCTCCTCCCTCGGGTTTAAATTTTCATGCACTTTTAATAACCATATTGCTTCATCTTAATTAAGTTCCAAGTATATGTGTGGTGATTGTCATAACCCTGTTTATTCCAGCACATATTGAAACTTTCTGTCCAACTGTTCTAATGTGCATGAAGCTCCTAGCACAGCAGTGTCTGGGGTATTCTAACAGGAAGCAGTGACTTCTATTTCTTATTCTCCCCTATTGAACATATTTGGTGATCAGGCTCATCTTGGTCTCTTAGAAAACACATTTCACTTATTTTAGTTCTTTTTCTTTACCCTTTACTAAGAATGGCTTCATTTTAGAATAAGTCAGTTACTCTTGTTCCTCTTTTGTCCTCCAATTTGCCTATAAGATTCAGTCGTCTCCATTTAGCCAAGTAAAGTGAATTTACTCTTCCTTTCTGGCTGTCTA